ATGGGCTCAAGCTCTGCCAGGGGAGGTTTAGGTTAGATGTTAGGAAGAAATTCTTTACAGAGAGGGTAATCAAGCATTGGAACAGCCTACCCAGAGAGGTGGTGGATTCACCATCCCTGGAGGTTTTTAAGCAGAGATTGGATGTGGCCCTTAGTGCCATGATATAGTAATTGGAGTTGGATCAGGGGTTGGACTTGATGATCTTGGAGGTCTTTTCCAACCCAATCTATTCTATGATTCTATGATTCTATGTCCCCTGCTGTGGCCAATTCAGATGCAGAGCCAGAGCCCAGGGTGATAGCAGGGTCCAGGCCCACCTTCTCATCCAAAATCACCACACTTATCAAGAGCCCAGTGACAAACAGCAGCAGTCAATGTGACTGAAGAACACAAAATGGGTGGCGCCCTTCAGGGCCAGGGTCAGCCCATCTCCAACATCCAGGCTTTGATCTGGTCTTTACTAGGTACCAGCAGGGTGTTAAGGTTAGGTGGAGAAAAGCCTTGGGATGAGGGTTAAAGCAACAAAAATCATATTGAGCCCAATTATGAGCTGAAGAGAGGCAGCATTTTATAGCCAGGGGGCAGAAGCCTCGAGAGCTTCATCCATCCATTACAGAGGGCAGGCTGACATGGCCACCTCTGGCCTCCACCAACAGCTCTAGGCAGATTAGGAAAACCGCTTTTCCTTCGCTGGGGAGTTTTTACTGCAGAGAAGTGAAGCACTTTAGGGCACATCATAAGTCTCAGCTTGAATGCTCTGATCTGGCACTCTCCAGGCGAGGTGGGAGAGTGTGGTTGGTGCTGAGCGCCGGATGCTGAGCCCGAGGGGTGCTTTGACTCTCCTCCGTGCTGTGAAATGGGACGGAGACGCAGACCGTGTGGGAGGCAAATTGTTTTATGGAAAATATGGGGAACCATTGTACTAAGCTGATTAACTCATTTTAACAATTTTATTTAGCTGCAAGAACTGCCCCACATGAAAAGTGCAGCTGCAAGCATTTGCACAGGAAAACACTCCCATATGCAGGGAAGCCAGATAAGCCTGTCGTCATTACAGCAAGAGATTTTAGTACTTTGGGGACACTGCAGAGTTATTTTTGCCTCTAAGTTTTATCTCAGAGAATGAAGGGTACTGTTATGCTAACTGGTTTTGTACATATTCCTCAAGTCTGGGACTCAGACTGGTTTAGGCAATTCTTGGCAGGTAAAACTTTGTCAGAAACATGAGAAATTGCAGGAACCAGGGCTCCCACTGCTTAATTCCACCTGGAGACAACAGCTGCTTGTTTTACCCCAAGGCAATATCTCTTCTGCCCTCCTCCACTTCCCTGAGTTGTACAGTATTAGGCAGGGGAAATGAGGCTTTCTTCATGCTTCCCTTCTTTCTCCGTGTTATTAGTCCCTTAACAAGCTGCCTCTTAATCCCAAAATATGGACCTTTTGGACAGTGTTCTGCTAATCCCATGAGGGACTTGGCAACCAACAGGAACACCAAGATTGTCTGGAATATTATCCAAACACGTCGGACCAAGGACCACCCTCAGCCTTCAGCATTTCTCTTGGGTCACCAGTCACACACCCCTCTGCGTTAAATTAAAACCATTCTAAAAGCAGTGTGGTTTCAAGCACTAGCAGCAGGGCATTTATATGGGATTTTCAGACTGATGCTTCTCCACGGGCCAGTTTGGGATCCCCTGAGTGTAGGATATTGTCTCAAAATATTCCCTGAAAGCCATCAAGAAGCATTGGTATCTGAGCACATAAGTAACAGTTCTGCCATCTCTGAAAGCAGGAGCTGCAAATCAGTTTTACTCTCTCTAGATGTTTTGGAGCTCGTGCCTGGTGCTTTTGCTCCAATTTCCTGTGCTCCGCATTACAGACTTGAAGCAGCAGCAGACATCCATCAGAAACAGGAGCTGGGGTGGCTGCACAATCACTCGCTGCCAGCCAAGGCACAGAGCTGCCTGGGCTACGATGTAGTCAACCAGAAACTGTGGGCACGCATCTCCTTGGAAATAGGTAGTTGGGAAGATCAGAAGCAATGCGGGGGGTTAAATTCTGCCATTCGTTTTGTTCTGAATGGTAACACTGTAAAAATCAATGTGGCACTTTTAAAATGGATTAGGAGGCAGTTAAATGACAGGTCTCCCAAGAGGAGTTGCAAATGAAGAGTGATCCCATGGGAGTTTTTATAGAGGGAATATTCAGGAAGCTGTTCTTGGCTGTTTACCTAAGAGGTCACAATAGATAAACAACTGAATATGAGTTCCACGGGTAATGCTCTTGTTAAAGGGGCTAATATGACCCTAGGATGTATAAATGGGAATATTGAGTGGTAGGGGAAACATATTGGCTCTGCACGTGACATTAATGAGACAAAACCAGTCCAGTTCAGCTGTCAACACTTAAAAACTGTGTTGTAAAAACCGAAGATGGTTGGGAGAAGAGCTATAAGACTGATTGAAAGCGTATCTTGCAATGACCCAAAGGAGCACAGTCCATTTATATTATCAAAGAGGAGTATAAGAGATGAATTGATCTGTAAGTATTTATACATGGAGGAGGAATACAGTATCAGAGATTACTTAACTTAGCAGACAAAGGCATATAAACCAGGAAGATGGGAGCTAAAAGAAAAAATCAAGTTGAAAGTGAGGCACATTTTTCTCCTAAATGGCCTTGTAATTAACCACCGGAGGAGCTGACATGGGATATGGTAGGTTCTCCATCACCCCAAAAGATATTTAAATTAAGCGTGGATGTCTTTCTACATGATGTAGCTCATGTATTGGTGTGGGAATTGCTGGGCGAAGCTTCATGGTCTGCATTATGCAGGAGGGCAGAGGAAATCATCATGGTGGTGCCTTCTGGCTGTGAAATCCATGAAACTATCAAAGTGATGACATCTGTATATCACATCCCAGCAGCATCCTGCCTGTTTATGCAACACATGTTATGAAAAGACTCTTTGAGGGATATTTAGAGGGCTTTAAATATTTTATTAGAGGCTTTTTAATATACTCTGCCTGCAAAACCAGGTAGAGGAAATAAACCTTAAAATAATAATAATAATAAAAAAATCCCAAAATAGATTTACTATACCCCCAAATCCCAGTCTTAAAATCAATATCTCAGAATACTCTGGGCTTTCAATATGATGCCCCAAGGATTCAGTCCTTTATCATAGTTTAAAGCTTCTATTTCACAGATTTATAGATGCTAAACTCAGGAGGTGCTACTGTGAACATCTAATCTGGCCTTGTACATAATGGAGGCCACAGGGCATCCCTCAATTACTTCCAGGCCACCTTCCAGACTCTTCCTTCATAGCATAGCCAAGACAGCCTTCCCTTCCATCCATGTGGCTAAACTTCACATCATGTCACGTCTCACCACAACATCCTTCCTTCCATCCCTCACAAATTAAATCTTTCCTGGCACATGTCCATTCAAATTGCTGCTACAAAGATCATTTGCCATTCCTGTGTCTCCTTGCTGGCTCTCCCTTTTGCCTTTCCACCACCACATCTCCTGTTCCTCACAGCCTTGTCTCTACCTCTGCCTCTCCATTACATTTGGTATCAGCTCATTCCTGCTTTTATGGCCCACTTTGCTGCCTTCTTTTTATCCCCTTCTTTTTTCCTGAACAAGCCTCATCTGGTGTAGCACCAGTCCGTGGGGAGGAACCCTAAGTTACATCAGTGCTATGCTGCTAAATAAAAATATTCTGGGAGCATTTGCACCCATCAGGGTGATGGGGAATGGGGGTTGTGGTCATTTCATCACACGTTGTCTCTGCTGCTTCTTCCTCCTCAGGACAGGGGCTCATCACTGTTCCAGCATGAGGTCCCTCCTGTGGGAGACAGTTCTCCATGAACTTCTCCAACATGAGTGCTTCCCATGGGCTGCAGTTCTTCACACACTGCTCCAGTGTGGATCCCTTATGGGGTCACAAGTCCTGCCATCAAACCTTCTCCAGCATAGGCTCCTCTCCCCATGGATCTGTAGGTCCTGACAGGAATCTGCTCCAGCACAGGTTTCCCACAGATTCCCTTTGGGCATCCCCCTGCTCCAGCAAGGGCTCCTCCAGGGGCTGCAGGTTGATCCCTGCTCCCCTGTGGGCCTCCACGGGCTACAGAGACACAGCTGCCTCCCCACGGGCTGCACCTCAGGCTGCAGAGGAATCTCCGCTCTGGCTCCTGGAGTGCCTCCTCCCACTCCTTCCTCGCTGACCTTGGTGTCTACAGAGGTGACACATGTTCTGAGTCCTCTTCCACTGCTCTTATTCTGAACTGAACAGGATTTTTTCCCTTTCTTGAATAAGTTATCCCAGAAGGGCTACCACTGTGGCTGTTGGGCTCGGTCTTGGCCAGTGTTGGGTCCGTCTCAGAGCCAGCTCGTGTTGGCTCCGTCAGACACAGGGAAAGCTTCTGGGAGTTTCTCACACTAGGCACCCCTGTAGTGCCTTGCCACACAAATCCAGTCCATTGTGTCAGTGACAGACCTGGATTCTTGTGCAGGGAAAAATCATTCATGTGAATTATTAAATGCCTGTTTGTTATTTTAAGACAGTGTGGTACAGTTTGCATCTAGAAAAAGCCTGAATTTTAATGCTCCCCATCCTTCTAAAAGATCCCACCTTGATAAACTTGAGTGTGGGAGACTGGCATCATGGAACCATGAACAAGGGTGAGCTGAGGCAAGGGACAGGAGGTGCCAGGAGAGCAGGTTGTGCAGTAGGAAAAGTCAGACCATGGATAAGCTCATCCCAGACTTTGCTTTTTAGAGAAGAGCTTCTTGCCTTCCGTGTGTGAGCGGTGCTCTGTCTGGGGTGACTGGTAAGGGAGGAGAAGGGATGCACAGAAGCAATCTACTGCCTTCACTGTTTCTGCTCTATGAAAACTGACAAATATCCGGTTTACAAAGCCTCAGTGCACAGATTTTTTTAATCTAACACTGCTCTACACAATTGCACAAGGTTGCCTTACTTTGTGTTACAGCACAGCTTAATCCTTCAGGAGCCAAACTGCATAAAATTGCCAAAAGCTGACACACGTCTCTGCTCAGTGTTGCCTATTGACAAGCAGGCACCTCTGGCCAAACTGAGAGGAAAACATCTGTCAGTAGGTGTTAATGAGACCATCACATGTAGCAGGCAAGACCCAACCAGCTCAGCAAGATCCGACAAAATTCATGTTCTCATCGGGTGATCACAGCTACCTGTGGTTGCACTCAGCTGTCAGGGGCCCACTGGCACACATCCTTCCTCACACAGATATTTTGTGAATTTTAGAGTGAGCAGGATGCAAATCTGCCCTTTGAGGCCCGTCTATCAAAAGCAGAGCTTTGGCCAGTACCTTGCAGAGGTTTCTGCAGGAAAACAAAGTGATAATAAAGAATGTTGCAAGTGTCCATCTCTCTGAGCCAGCACAGTTGAAGCCTTGGGCGGGAAGTATGGTTTTTATCAGAGATGTAAAATTAAATGCCCCATTGCTTGTAACTAGTCCTGATACCATGTTGTTTTTGCAGAAAGTCATGGGCAGCTTCAATCTTTGTGTCTGCTAGTGGTCCTGAATGAAATGCTGCTGCTGGAGAAGGTGAGCAGCATGTTCTCAGGTTGTCAGGTGATGGCATCATGGCTTTGAGCACTGGCAAGTTAAAGCAGAAGGAAAGAAGGGAAGGAGGGGGGAAAAGGAAGAGAGGGGAGGCAGTAATTCACAGAGAATATTTTCATTTAATTTACTGATTATTTACATCTCACTGTACAAATCAGAGCTAAGTATATCCATCCAAGCCAATCTATATGACTCATATTTTGTCAAATAGGTATTCTGGAAGTGAGAAGTTACAGAAATAAAAATCATGAATTATCACTTGTTCTTTTATGCTTGTGGACAGCATCTTTTATTACACATAAATTCCATTTATAACCATTGCAAACAGGAAAAAATAGCTAAAGTCAAGTTTGCATGAATAGAAAAATGACACAACAAGAAACTGAGTCTAAAGATTGATTCTGCCCTGTTGTTTTAGTGGATCCACCTGACCAGCAGTAAACACCTGCAATGTCTGTTTATGGGTTCTACTTGGGGATTCTCCATCCCAGTCTAAAACAGGCAACTGCAATGCCAAAGCACACCCTAAAAGCTGCTGTTTCCCTCTGTTGACCATCAGAGCAAGGTCAGATAGAGACTGTACTTTACTAAAGAAAATAAAACATAGATAGAGCCTACTCAGTAATGCTTTCTGAAGCCAAGTTCATAGATAAGCTCCTAAAAATTTTGAGAACTTCCAATGAGAACCTGGATTGATGCATGGGCCCTTCTCTGAAGTATGCTGAGCTCTTGCCATACTACCAACAAAGATAAAAGTGGCAAATGTCTCTACACACGTGTTTAAAAGCCACACTGCAGAATCTGAGCTGAACAGCCAGAAAAATGGCTCATTTTTAATGTGAAGTCCATGTAAGGTTCACTGTGGGCATAACTCAGCCCTGTCCTCCTCTTGAGAGCCAACGTGGGCTTTTGCCATGGCTTGGTGGGAGCACATGTGGTTCATCTGCAGAGGTAGTAAGCTTATTTCTCAGTGCTTCTTTAACATGTCAAGAAATGTCAAGGGTGTGCACAGTGGGAAAAGGAGCGCCATCCCGAAACATCTCAGGTGAGGCACCCCTGACAAGGCAGCTCCTGCCCCATGTCACCCTTCTGTAAAGATGCACCAAACAGGAAGATTACACTCTGTACTTCTTTTGTTATCTCTAGAGCACATCTATCAAGTCAACAAATGAGTGGGTATAAAGTTAACTGTTTAACTGACTCAGCTGTTTAGAAGTTTAACAAATGTACATATCACTAGGTATCTGGAAACTAGTGTTTTCTGTCTAAGGCAGCAAAATGAATGGAGAGCAATATCCAAACACTGTAAGTTAGAAGACTAGGGACAAAAATATATCAGTTGCTAGGAGATGGCATTTAATCTGGAATTTTAGGCAATAAATAAAAAGAAGAAATTTTGTTGAGGGCAGGAATCAACTTGAACAAGTGGTTATTTTTGAGAGGGAGCAAAGCAAGGATGCTGCCCCACAACATGCCGTGGGGACAGAGGTGAATGGGAAGGTTATTGACTTGACCGTGGGAACAAAACCCCTGCCAGTGAAAGACACCAAGGACAAAACTCTTTCCTAGTTGAAGTTGCTGGGAGATGTGGCACTAAAGTAAATAAAGGTTGTACTTCAACCTGCAAATATCACCTTTGCCTGAGATGGAAGCCCAACCAGAACCTAAAATCCTGTGAAATCCAGCCTGTTACCTCACGAAAATTACAGCAAAACCAGGAAAAGTTCATTGTTTTTGAAGTTAGATCCCCAAATCCAACAGAATCTGCTGGTTTCTTTCCCTACTAAAGAAAGCCCTACTTTCTTAATAGTATTAGAATTGATAAATGCTGGTGTTTAAGATTAGAATGTCTTGTGAAGCCATATAGGCTTCAACAGCAAGGCCAGCAGGGAGTGGGGCTGGCTGCTCCTTACAGCAGCCTAGCCCTTGGTGGGGATTGTCAAAGTGGGATTTTAGTTCTGTTGAAATCAAGGGCAAAGTGGCAACAGATCTCAAAAGGTCCTTTTCTCCCACACACCAAAGGTTTGTGTGTAATGTAGTCCAGCACATGGTAATCACCTACACCTCTGCTGGTTCCTGTAACTCTGAGTATGTGCAGGTATTAGAAACAGCGTTTGCCTCAGCACCACCCCTGGGTAATTTCCATCTCAGACATCCCTTTGACTTAGGCTGGTAAGCATTTCTACAGTATTTGCTCATGGTGATTGCATTCATTATTCAGATCAAACCTTTGGGGTCCTGAGGCCACGATGGAAATTCAGACCTTTCACAGCTTTAATACTACCTGTAATCCTGACACTGGAGCACTACTTGTTTAGATTTGCTTACTTGCTTAGGACAGTGCTTGTCAAAGTGATTAATAATTTTCTCTGGGCAGCAGCCAAAGATCAGAGTCCATGCTGACGTCTGCAATCTGCCAGAAGGCTTTGATATTGTCAACAGGGGTATGGTCAAGCCTAAATAACCAGTGGTTGAGGGGATATATTCTCGTTGCTCAGAAATCCAAAGGACTGTCTTCTCTGCTGGCCTAGCTTGTCTTCCAAAAGATAACTGTTGACTGCAGGCACTGCTGGCTGCTTCACTGGCCTCTGCAGGACAAAGTTGCTGGAGGAAAGGCAGTAATGTGTGCTGTTCCATCAGTGCTGGTGGCACTGGCATCTCCTCTTCATGCAACCTGGAGAGCAGAGATGGTACCATCACATCTGGATCTGCATACTTGCCAGGGTTCTCTGCAGTGAGGAAGGGCTGGACAAGGACTTGCTGGCTGTTGTTCAATCCCTCCGATTGATCCCACTGGTTGGGTGGGAGAGTATCAGCCAGGGAGGGTTGGCTCAATTTTTGTCCTTACCTGTGGTTAAGAGCCCAACCACGGCAGGCACTTTATCATCTGTAGATATATATCTACAGATCATCTCTTACTTTGTCATCTGTAGATGACTCTGCTTGAGTGGGAAGATGGGACCAGATACCCTCCAGAGGTCTTTTCCAACCTCAGTCATCCTGTGATTCTCTGATTTTTATGCCAGCAATGATTGCCGAATTTGTGGAGCTCAATGTAAAGCCCAGTCAATGACAGACCTCACCTTTGGGAATCTGCTCCTTCCACACCTGTGAAAGGCCCAGCCTGGGCTGTAAGGTTTTCCATTTGCACTGGAGGGACCTCCAGGAGGTACCTGGAGGATGCTCTAAGGTAAGATAATAATGGTGATGTATCCTAGTGCAGGAAAGCATGGGCCCTTGCAGCTGTGTGGTGATGCACTTGGGTCACAACATGCAATACTCCAGGCTTGGGACAGAGTGGCTGGAAAGCTGTCCAGTGGGAAAGGACTGGGAGTGCTGTTTGATAGCAACTGAGAATGAGACAGCCTAGGTAGCCAAGAAGTCCAATGGCATCCTGGCTTGTATCAGAAATAGTGTGACCAGCAGGACCAGGGCAGTGATTGTCCCTCTGTACTCAGCACTGGTGAAGCTGCACCTCGAATCCTGGGTTCAGTTTTGGGTCTCTCATTACAAGAACAACATTGAGGTGCTGAAGCATGTCCAGAGAAGGGCAAAGAAGTTGGTGAAGGATCTGGAGCACAAGTCTTACAAGGAGCGGCTCAGGTCACTTTGTCTGTTCAGCCTGGAGAAGAAGGGGCTCAGGGGTAACCGCATCGCTCTAC